TTTCTGAACTCATAGTTCTCTACCACTTCATTTTGCTACATATGTAGACCAGTCTGTATGTACAGGATGAACAGTATTACAATTCCCTTTCTGCTTCTCTGAAATGTCAGCTTATTTCACAGTATACTTGATGACATAAATGAAATATTTACCCCACCCCAGCTGCACTCCTATTTCACAAATCCAAAGTCATTCAGCCTGTACATGAATTCTTGCCCATGTAGTTCTTTGATTTGAATTGTCTGAATATGTACCTTGGCATCTGGAAAGAGAACAGTATTTATGCAACTGAATGTGCCTGCTGGCAAGCATACCTAAAAGAATGTGTCAAATATTGCTATGTAGATTAGAATGGCTCCTTCATGGCTGGTATGATCTATCAGGTAAACACATAGTTTGGAATAAGTTTGAATTTCAAATCACCTGAACTGTTTCCTGAAGAGTGCCATGCCAGTGTATAACAAATGTGTACCAGATTGCACCAAGTATACCATGCAAGTATGTCAGTTCTTTTCACAATTTAATACTTTTAACATTCCCATATACCTGTTTTAGGCAGCTTTTATATACACACATTTTACTTACTGAAATGGCAGCTTATTTCACAACCTTTAACCTATATTTAAAAGCAATACGAGCCAGGCTTCTTCTTTAATCTATGTTTGTATCTGTGGCTGTCTTTGTTTTGGATGTCATTGGATGGATTGTTGTGCCATCAGACATGTCATGGGAAGTCCATGCCAGATTCCAACACTAATTCCTCATTGTTGCACAATTTCGCAATTTTGGACAGAAATTGAAAGCAATCTGCTTTGAAAGTGGCAGCATCAAAGTGCTTCGCAAACACTGACTAGTTCACTATAGCAATCTTCTTGACATGAAGGGAAATACACAATTAGCTTCTCTATGAGTCTATTCAAATATGTAGAAAACCTCAGCCCATTCCAACATGGGAGTCTATTTCAATGTGCAAGTGTGCCATTTCCTTTTTGTGTCAGTATCCTCAGTAAAATATCCTATCCGTTTCACTATGCTAAAAGGAGACCACTTCTTCTGAAATCTCCTTGCAAATGGAACACTGACCGGTAAGGGAAAAGGTGTGATCATTTTAGACCTCCACGGGTATAAACCACATTCCCATTTTGAAGCTACAGACCATTTGTAGTTTCAGCTATGTTGGGCTGAAGAGACTCCCACACCTCTCGTGGCAGGAAGCAGCTCCAGGAGGTCAGGCCTGATCAGCAGTGGACAGTGCCATTTCCCACCTTCCATTTTCCTTCTTGTGCTTCAGTATTCATCTCCTTTGAGGAGCCCTTATCTTTGGTGGCTTCCTTCTTTGAGGTTGGAATGCACGGAAGGGATGTTGGGGTAATGAAACCCCACAATTGTTTTTGTGATCGTTGGGATATGAGGTGCCTTTATGTTAAAGAGCTGACCTCTGCTCATCTATTTTTCCCCTTTTCAGGATGTTCCTCTGCCCTATGAGGTACCTGGCCTACCCCTAGATGAGAAAGAAGAAGAGGAAAAGAGTTGGTTTTATACCCCACTTTTTAACTAACTGAAGGAGTCTCAGAGCGGCTTACAATCGCCTTCCCTTCCTCTTCCCACAACAGACACCCTGTGAGGTAGGTGGGGCTGAGAGAGTTCTGAGAGAACTGTGACTGAACCAGGGTCATCTATAGCTGGCTTCATGTGGACTAGTGAGGAATCAAAGCCAGTTCCCCAGATTAGAGTCCACTGCTCTTAACCACTACACCAAACTGGCAGATTTAGTTGGTGTGATATAAAGTCAGGCTTATATTGCAGTGCAGATATCTCAACCTAAGTGAAGCCATTTTGCAGGTATCAAAGTCATTCTTTAATCTGTTTTGTTTTCTGCATATTTGTTTTTCTGGGATACCCACACTGTCAGCAAAAAAATAATAATTAAAAAAATCACTTCCCTAAAATCAACTATTTAAATTCTGCTTTATGCAGCATTTGTAGATCTGGCATCTCCAATGAAAAAGGAACTCAGGTAGCAGATGTAGGGGGAAAACCTTCTGTGCTTGCTATTATCCATTTGCCCACCCGTGGAGGGTAAATCCTAACCTGGGCCCCAATCCTTTACCCTCAAAACACAGAGGAATGGGAGAAAAAAGTGCCAGAAAATAGTCTCCATAGTGACACTTGGTTACCATAGAGATTAGGGGAAATTCCTACAGCACCACCTGGAGGTGATGCCACCTCCCTCAAGGTCTGCAGGCATTTGCCTAGGCAGCACTGCCATTCAGAGCAGACAATACTAAGTTAGATGAACCAAAGGTCTGACTCAGAATTTTATGCTTCTATGAAGCTACACGATGAACTCTTTCCAGGGTGTCCTTTGAGATAAGGTGAAGTGGTAGCCTCAGGTGGTAGGGTAGACTGGGGTGGGGGGCATTATGCCAGCTCTGCAGCTGCCATCACCATCCCTGACTTGTCCTTCTCACCTCCTCCTCTTTGCTCTGGATCCCCACCCAGCAGTCAGAGCAACAGAGCTTCCCCAAACTCTTCCTAGATAATCCCACAAGAATTCGGGAAGTCTTATTGGGCACGTGCAACTTGCTGCACTGTGTTTAAGGATGCCTGGGAAATGAGGAAGGAAGGCGTATTAGCTGCTCTGGATGGATGTAGCAGGCAGAGGTGGTAAGAGGCAGTGGGGAGGAGAAGAGACTGAACAACAACAACAACAACAACACCATCGAGACCAACAAGAGTTTTGGGGTATGAGCTTTCTAGAGTCAAAGCTTCCTTCGTCAGAGCAGTCTTTAAAAATTATACCCCTCAAATCTTTTTGGTCTCTAGTTCTACTGCAGACCACCATCGCTACCTGCTGAAACTTCATGGGGAGAAGAAGTAGAGGTGAGGGATTCAAGCCTTTGTCAGCAGCCCTGATTGAAGTAGCACTGACTACTTTGCAAGAAGCCCAGGGATTCTGATGTTACTTGAGCAGTTGGTCTTGATAATACAATTAGCACAATTAACCTCCTCATTCTTGGTTAGGGCCAGTACCTTCCACCAATCGCTGCTGTTTACTGTTAGCGATGTCTGAGATTCCAAATATGTATAGTGATGCGTTGTAGGTATGAGACTTCAGATCTCTTCTTTGGCATCCACAGTTAAGAGATCTCAACTACAAAGAAAAGACCACTCAATAATGATGAAACTAGATAAGGCACCGGGACATCCATCCGTCAATCCATCAAGCATCATATGTGTTTTGTTGATAAACAGGAGCTGCAGAGGCAACATTTCATATTGGGAGCTGCAGAGGCAACATTTCATATACAGGAGCTATACCAATGGGGATTCCGGTTGAACTTATCAATATTTTCTTCTGATAGTGAAATATTTTCTCAGATTTCTTAAACTGGGTTAATGAAATTTTACAGTTAAGTTGCAACTATTCCTTTTTTTTTTTTGCCCCCCGGAGGGGATTTTTTAAATTGCATTTTCTATATAGACTACAAACTATAATGAAAAAGGGAGGGGTACTACATTTAAGGGAGAAAGGAAAGATAACCACTACTAACTAAAAACCCAAGAGAGGAGATCCTCAAATTAGCTTATATACAATGCCAATTCTTCAAATGCAATGTTTGATGAACTTAGTCAGACATGCTTTTATAACTTTTATGTCTTAAATTTAACTGTTATGGAAAAACCCCTCAGCATCCCCATATTAAAAAGAACAGAACAATATTTATCAGAAGCACCATTCAGAGTCCTTCAACCCTTATTTTTTCTTATCTTGTCTCTTCCGCAGTTTATAAGGACTTTTAGGAGTCGCTGCCCCATGATTTTAAGAGTCTCATTGAGTTGTGTTTGCTGAGTGGTGATACATTGATTCATCTTTGACAGCTGCTCCTTGAGGTTAGTCATCTGCTCCAGAAGGGGGCGCAGGGACTCTGCCATCGTTTTTGGCCAGCTCGGTGGTTCCTTCCGGTTTTGGACTCTCAGCTGGTTTCATTTTTGAAAGTTTCTCCTTCTCCGTCCTCTTCCCCACCATCTTTATCGATTGTTTACTTTCGCTAAACATTTAAAAGTCTCTGAATGTGCGTTCATACGCTCACACATGCCTTGGTAAGTCTTTCCAACAGTTTTTACCGCTTTTGCTTCCGCTCCCTCCCTGATCTCGCTTGTGAGTTTGTGCACATGGGAGAGGCCCCTCCCCCGCTCACTTTACTCTCTAGTCCGTGGGATGGGGTAGCTTTCTTCTTAACTTTAACAAAATCACTCTAAACTGACTCACGTTCATACTCGGTCATCCGACCTCGGTTTGCTTTCGTTTTTAGCCGCTCAATCTCCTGCGCTTGTCTCATCAGCGTCACTGGTTCCTTACGGACACTCAGCAGAGGGACCATGGGGACGGAGAAGCATCTTGATTCCCCAGCATCATGCTGGCAAAGAGGTGACCTCTCAAAAGTCCCTTGGCCAGGAGTCTTTCGCCAGACCCTTGGGGGGTTGCGATACATTGCCCACCCTCCTTTCTGCCTGTGTGCAGCTTCACCCCCGGGAAGTCCGGGAGGTGCGACTGCTTAGCGTGCTGCCATAGACCGGAAGCCCAAGTTGCAACTATTCCTTTAGATGAAATAAAAACAAAATGATCCCTGTGGTCAATTTGCTGACATATTGCAGTTACCATAATTATATAAAATTCCATGGTATTAGGATATTTCAGAGACCACTGCCTATAGCCAGAGGCTTAGATCCTACCTAAATTTCTTTGCACAGAAGGACTTCCATGCATAGAAGTACAACTTCTCCTCCTCCTAGTGCAGCCCTAAATGCCCCATCTGCTGTTTCTAGTGGACAGGAGACCCTAAGAAGTAGCAAGGCGGGGGTTGCCATGGGAGGGGGAATCAGTGAAAATCCTCCCCTCTTGCATTCTTTTCAACGGGAATCTAAAGGAACTCTGATTTTCATTCTTACAGATACTTATCATTGTAATTCTAAACTCATAAATCTCAGCTGTTTCTTTAAGATATCACTGTTAGATCACAGCAGATGGAAACTTGATAATACTCCCAAACCTGAGATGTGATATTTTGAATACTGTAACCCTATGTGCAAGATACAGATGTGTTCAATGAATAAACCTTATTGATAAAACCAGGCAGCCCAGTGGTATAATCCAAAGCCATAGACCTTATACACACACGTAACAAAGACTTAGATCCAACTGTATAATCGGAGACCACCCATCATTAACAGGCTAGGTCCTCTTTAATAAATGGCTTGTCTCTCAGTATATGGAGTATACTGGGTACTCTGCTATACATGGTCTCTCTTCTGCTATTATCCTTCCACAAGCTTTGAGTAGTCTATTCAGTGGTTGGAGAAAGAGGCAGGAGCAGATAAGTAGAAACTGTTGATGTTATTCAAAGTTGTAGTACATGTGTCATTGTTTTTCTTGAGCTAGCACTTAGCCCTGATATTATGATGTTGTGCAGGAACTGTTTTTAAGATGGACATGACCCAATTGGCACTTAGCAGCTTCCCTACCATGATGAGTTGTCTTAATAAACTAGAAGAAACTTCACCAACAAGGACTGGGGAGCTGGGTTACTTTAACTTGACTGTAAGGCATTATTCTGTTTCATGTCCATTCCTTTTTTCAAACCTTCCATTAGGTAATTATTCTGCCCGAGATGCTTGCTACAGAATGCATCAGCCACTGTAGTAAAGGGATGGTTCCTGTGAGCTTGAAAATGTATGAGGTAAATGAAAAAGCATGGACGGAGCTGTTGGCATGTCTTCTCTTGGCTGTCAGAAATAGATGGTGAAAGGATTCATGGCACATGCCTAGGCAGTCCAGGCATTTATTAGAACTTATCCTGAGCTTGTTGGATAGTCCTTTGAAATTTAAAAAAGAAAGCTGCCCAGAGCCTGGAAGGACCCCAATGCCAGAACAGTTTCAGTCACTTTATTTCACAAATATTTCTCTTTACTTATTTGCATTCTTCTGGTTCTTCATCACAGGATTTGATTTCCAGTCACAGCTTATCCATCAGTTTTGAAAAATCCCAACTCTATAGCTGTAAGGTATATAGGTATCTTTGAGGTTTGTGGCACATGGTTTTATAACTGTTGTTAACAGTTATTTTGCTTGTTGTAGCCTTGTGAGTATAAAGACATAAATGAACATTGTCATTTGCCACTCATATCACTCACAGAACTATGAGCTTGATCCTACTAGCTTTTTAGGTGGTGCAAAAGGGAGGAGGGGCAATGTCACCTGATTTCCTTCTTCATTGAGTCTCACAATCCCCAACATAGCCTTTTCAGGTGTTAAAAGTTTCCACATCGCTCTTGTGCCATCTTAAAAGCTGGTAGGATCTGGCCCATTAATGTTAAAGAACTTTGTTCAGCTTGGCATAATATCATGTGCTGTTTATTTATGCAACTAAAGATGTGAATCTAAAGTAACGAAAGAAGAAACTATTCTTCCTGAAGGCTGTTTTCACACAAACATCATTCCCCTGTTCTATAAGCCTATTTGTTTGAACCCACCTGACCACTACTGTCATCTCCGGAGTCCCTGTTCTGGGTGCCCCTGCCTTTTGAGATGTCAGGTGACAGTGCAGGAGACGGCCTTTTTGGTCATGGCACCCAGACTCTGGAACTTTCTCCCCAGGGAGATTTGTCTGTCTCCTTCTGTTGCCATCTTCCATTGGTGGGTGAGGACTTCATTTGGTTTTCCCTTGGTGATCCCTCTTCTCCTGCCCAATGTTAAAACAATGTCTGCCGCCTTGGGGACCCTGAATTGGGTGGAAAGGTGGCATAGAAATATTTTAAGTAAAATAATAATTTAAAAAATGGCTCTGCATAAAGGTGTTCTAATTTCAGAAACAAAGACAAATGGAACTGAAACTAGAAAAAAAAAACACAAACCTACCTCAGAAACGGGCTATAATCAAACACTGTAGCTCTTGGAACAGTGTTTGACTGATACTGACAAATGATGAACGGTAAAAAGATCTAACAGAATGAAAATTGATTTTTACCTAAAGAATGTCAATTAAAACTGCAAGCATCCTTGACACACATCTCCTCTTTCAGTCTACAGGTGAATTAAATGTAAAACCAACAAATGAGACTTCGTTTCCTTTTGGAGGAATAATATCTGAGTGCTTTCTGCTCTGAGTTAAACAATTTCTTTTGAAATAATCATGATCTTTTTCTCTGGCACTTGAAGAGGGCAAGCCAGTTTCTCATGAATGTGTCATATACCACTCCAATTTCCTTACTCAAACACAGTGATCCTTGCCTTGAATTTCCATTTATCTCACAGAAATATCATTTGATCCCTTAATGGGCTTACAGCAACCATCTGGGTGCTACCAATCTACCATATTGTAAACAAATGCCCAAAGATCTTCAGCCATAGGAGGAGACAGGAAGATATAATAAAACTTCAAACTAATATGAAAAAAGATTAATGTCTCTTTGATTATCTGGATAAACCTCAGAGACAGACATCAAGAAACTGAGCTTCTATTGCATCTCTAATCACTGAGTTCCCCATGGGAAGAGGGCATGGGGTATAAATTAAATGAATAAATAAATAATATTAGCTAATAATTTGGTCAAGGCACTCAGGTTTTTTGTATGAATCTGAATTCTTTTTCTTGCTATTCTTTATCTAGAGCTAGAACTTCCAAGGTTAAGAAGTGTTCATTTAAGTATCAAATATAATATCTCTTTCATTTCCCATCTGCACAATGGATTGCTACTACTAAAACAGTCATGGTGCAATTCTTTCCTGTTAAGTCACTGCCAAATCTCCCATTGATTATATTGAGTGGTGGACATCAGCAAGGTCCTTTGTATTATTTGCAATATATCTATTGTATGGTGTGCTGGGCACGGTGTTCTACCACATACTTGTCATCAAATGAATACAAACTTAATTTGAGTATAGTAATGATGGTAAAATGATTTTACCTGGATCAGCAATAAAGCAAGCTATTTGTGCTGAGACTTCTGGAAACTTCACTTTAACAACAATAGAAGCTAATTTTTCTAATGAGCACCAGACCACAAAATACAACATAGATGGGAGGAGGGGTTGCTTTTCATAATGCCTCAGAATCCTGGAATTGTGCTCCCATCCCAGAAAATTAAAGTTAACAACCCAAAACAGTGCTTTTCTTGTACATTTTTGGCTTGGGAGCTTTAGAACACTTCTAGTATTTATGGCTTCATATTTAAGCACATTCACTTGGATGTAAAATATACACAAATCCTGTGCACATGTGTCACAGGATATGTTAAAAAAACTTACTAGGGTGGGTTTATGTGACTCCAGCATAACATTTAAAGGGCATCACTGTTACCTAAGTGTGCAGCATCAATTCACCCATGCAGCATACACCTGGACCATGGATCCCTGGCATTCTAAGCCTGCATTCATAGGCACCAGAGATACGATTCAAAAGAATGAACCCAGATGTCTGTATCCCCACACAGGTATATTTTGTTAGCACACTCAGCATTTCACTTAAACAGGATGTGAACTCAAAGTAGCCTTTTGCATTGTGGGTTTATGGTGTAGTGTCAGGTGTGGGAGACCTGAATTCAAATTGCCATATAGTTCACTAGGAGACCTTGGGCCAGTCACACTTTGCCACCCTGACCTATCACACTGGCTTCTTGTGATGATAAAATGGAGGATAAAATGGAAAGCATTATATGTCACTCTGAGTTCCTTGGAAAAGGGAAGAAATAAAATTGCAATAAAGCAAATATTTGGAGGATTAGGGCTGAGGTATAAATCTGTAAAACAGAGACTATGACATAGCATATGGTTAAGTTTTAGCTTTGTGATAATAACATACAAAAATCTTTCTCTCTCTCTCCTTTGGTTCCATCAATCAGTTATTCCTTTTTTCCTTCTTTCTCTTAAACTACTTAATATAACATATTGCATCATAGAAGTTATCTGTCTATATAAATACTTACAGCACTACAGAGCAGACTGCAAGATACATGAGCAAGCATTGTAGCTAAGTGTACATAATGCTTCCTTTAGGGGGTGCCATTGTGTCTTTTAAAGCAAGACTGAAGTATCCACCCAGGAGGTATGAAAAATATGATTAGGAAGGAAATAAGATTCAGTACATCCTTTTATCCTCAGGACTTGGAAATGTTCAAGACTTTAGAGGCATTGCAATACAGGCCTTAGTAATAGGATATTTTACTGAGGATACTGACGCAAAAGGGAAATGCATTAGATAGTCCAAGACAGCAAAACTGAAAGGGAGAATTCAGTTGAAGAAGGAAGGGAAGGTTTATTATTATTATTGTTGTTGTTATTGTTTGATTTTAACCATAGTACTTATAACTGAGTATGCAGAGACTCTGGGAAAAAGCTAGAAATTATTAATACCCTGGCAAACAAACCAATTAAAATGAATACTTATATTTGGGAGGGGGGGGGAAAAGACCTTGAC